AGGTCTGGACGGTGCCATACTGGCTACATTGTGGGGTCTGGCATCTTGTCTTCATGCTGGGGGAAGGGACCCCACCAGCCCCAACCCCCCACCCCCATCACCTGCCTCCCAGGTAATGGGCATGCCCAGATCTCTGGAGGCAGGGGCAGGCACTTGGCTGATAGGTTACTGAATCTGTCAGTCCAGTGCCTGGAACTGGGAATTTCCAGTGGATCTGCCCCCTGTACTGACCTATTTAGGCCAGGATCAGCCTAGCCACCAGGACTCCATGCCATGTGTGTCTCCTTGATCATGTCCTGTCTCCTGGCTTCTGGCTTGTCTCCAGGCATCATGGCATTCCAATTCAGCTCTCTGCTGAAGCTGAATTGGCTTGCTGGTATTGTTTTTATTTCTTTCCTCTTTAGCATGTTTCCTAGCTGTGTTATGTGTATTTGCATGTTGCAGGCTTTTGTAACAATGGACGGCCTGCGTCCTGTTAACTGAATAATAAAGATTCCAATATTATATATTTTAAACTGTGACTATCTGGGATGATTCACCTTACAACAATAGGAGCTCCCAAACTAGCCTTTTTGTTATGTCTCCTCCTTCCTGTGATCTCAAAATGAGTAATCACTGGCTCCTCCTCTTCTCAAACATCCCATATATGTCACAAACCTCACAAAGGCCTTTTCAGAACTACCCTTTTATTCAATCTTCCTTAATATTCTCACTGTTTCACCAAATGATGATCTCATCACAAAACCTATTAATCCTAAATACTGTAATAATTGCCATGAAAAGCTTGGCTTTTCATTACACCTGTAATTCTAGCTACTCAGGAGACTGAGATCTGAGGATCATGGCTCAAAGCAAGGAAAGTACATGAGAGTCATTGCCAATTAAACCACCAAAAGGCTGAAAGTGATAGATTGCTAGCCATGAACAAAAAAGCTCAAGTGCAATTCCTAGGCCCTGAGCTCAAGCCCCAGGACCAGTACATACATACAAACACACAGATACGCTCCATGAGAAAAAAAAAAGTTAAGAGATAAAGAGCTAGGAGGTGGGAGTAAAGGTACTCATTTCCCAGAGATGGTTATAAAAGGCCTCTCCAAGGGTATTAAAAGGGATGAGCCATACTAAAGTCTGAGAAAATAATGTCCCAAATTAGGAAAGGGACCTGGATCCACCAGCGAATCTAGAAAATGAATACTCAGGAGGCTGAAATCTGAGGATCACAGTTCAAAGTCACCCGGGCAAGGAAGTCCATGAGAATTATCTCCAATTAACCACCAGAAAACCAGAAGTGGTAGTGTGGCTCAAATGGCAGGGTGCTCTCCTTGAGCTGAAGAGCTCATAGACAGCACCCAGGCCGGGTTCAAGCCCCATGACACACACACACACACACACACACACACACACACACACACACACACACACGTGTGCGCGCACTCGCGCACACAGCAGAAGTGAAGGAAGACGTGACATTGTCCAAAACAAAATGTACTCTTTACTTGACTTATGTAACTATAACTTCTCGGCATATCAATCACCTTTCTTTATAATAACCATAAAAAATTTAATGTGGACAATTTAGGAGGCTTTTGCCTAGCAGACAGCCATACAGTCTCACTGAGCTCTCACTGAATGTGTTAGAGTGAATAAATGATACGGAAATAACCTAGCCAAGATCAGTTCCCACTTGGCAGCCTTGTTTTAGGGTGTCCATCTATTTTCTGCACATTCCACTTGAGGTACTACAGTCCAATTGATCTGGCTCCACTAGGCACATAACTCCACCTAAGACCATTTGAGGCTCCTAATGATTGATTCAGAAATTGGACTCAGCTACTAAAACGCCACAAGACTTTTGCTTGCTGTCTGGAGTAAAGGCATATACTTTTTACTACTACAACTGATACTGTCATTGCTGTGTTTTACCACCAGAGGACAGACTGAGAAGCCAAGGCAGAGTAAGTAAAGTTCAGAGACAAAGAGAAAAGTCTGATCATAGTGACATCTTCTCAGACCTCAACAAATGTCTAAAGCCAGTCTCCCTAAGATGGCTCCATTATGCCTGCTAATTATCTCTCTTTTTGCTTAAGTATGTTTGATTCATGCAACCAATCAACAACCAAAGTTGTTGCTATCCTCATTAGTGTCAGACTACTGTTTCTTTCCTAAGCCCCCTGAATGCCAGGCTAAGGAGTCTGGGAATTACCCTAGAGCCAATAAGGAAATAAAGTCATTTAAATATGTATTTACTGACCTCAGAATATCCTAACTTACAAAAAAGTGAGCTACTACTACACGAAAACACTGAGTCTTGAACAACCACTTCAAAAAGCTTTTGCCTAAGATAATATCTGAGCACTATGGAGAAGATTATGAAAGATCTCCAAAGGCTGAATCTAATTTTAAACCTTCAGTCCTCCTCTTAGTTCACTTAGCAGCAGCACTGGACACAGACAAAACTCTCTCTCCACCTTTAAGTACTTGCTTTACATGGCTTCTGTGACACTAGACTTCTATCTTTTCTTCTTACTTCACTGGCAAGCAACTTTAGAGTGATTTATGCTCATTCTTCTATAGTTGCCAATTTTAAAGCATTGTCTCTTTTTTCTATTTATACTCTTTTATTTGTTTGCTTTATGTTCTCCAATGTTGGAAGTGGAATTTAGGGCCTTATGCATACTAGACAAGTACTCATACGATTCTCACACAGTCTTGTGGCTCCCTGGACTGTTGGCTTCAATGGGGTGGGGATTTGAGGATACTTTGTTTATACTAAATCCTTCACAAAAACAGTGTCCGGGATGTAGAAGATGTTTCCCAAATACTTTTTTGATGAATGGTTGTGTGAATAGCATGGCTTTATACAAAATTTATAAAATGATGTTTATACTACTGCTTACATCTTTATCCTGAGCTCCAGACATATCCAGCTGCCTATGTGAGATCTCCAGATGGATGTCTAAAACATCTCAAGCTTACCAAATTCCAAAAGAGAACACCAACCACCCTCTCAAAGGCTTCTCATTGGTTTAGTGAAGCAAGCATAGTTTTAGCCTCACACCCAAGTTTCTGAAATGATCTCTCTTTTATTTTACATTATAGCGCTATCTATCCAATCTGCCAACAAATTCTGTGTATTCTGCCTTCTGAACAGGAACTGAGTACTTGTTTTCATCTTTACCATTACCATTACGAGCCAAGCCACTCTCATTTCACCTGCAAAGAGTGATCTTCCCACATCTTGTCTTTTTTTTTTTTTTTTTTTTGCCAGTCTTGGGGTCTGAACTCAGGGCCTAGGCACTGTCCCTCAGCTTCTTTTGCTCAAGGAAGGTTAGTTAGCACTCTACCACTTCAGCCACAATGCCACTTCTGGCTTGTGGTACTGAGGAATCAAACTCAGGGCTTCATGCATGCTAGGCAAGCATTCTACCACTAAGCCACATTCCCAGCCCTACATCTTGTCATTTTTACTTGGGATTCAATTTGTCTTCAGAACCACAACTGGGGAGCTTTTCAAATTGAAGTCTGATTATGTCATTCCTCTGTTTCTAATCCTGTAATAATTTCCACTTCACTTAGTGACAACACAAATCCTAACAGTAGCTGATAAAGTTCTATACTATCTGTCCCTATCACAAGTCTTACCTTGTCACCTACTGCTTTTCCCTACTCACTGTGCTCCATTCATACTGACTTCCTTGTAAAGGCCAAGCTCATGGTCCTGAAGTCCTCTGTGCCTGGCTTATTCTCGCCTTGATATCTGCACCCATCAACCTCCTTACAGTCTGCTATCACCTCCTCTGTGGTGGCCTTTACATTGAGCAATGTATTTAAAATTGCAGCCATTGGGCTGGGAATGTGGACTAGGGGTAGAGTTTTTGCCTAGCATGCATGAAGCTCTGGGTTCAATTCCTCAGTACCACATAAACAGAAAAAGCCAGAAGTGGCACTGTGGCTCAAGTGGTAGAGTGCTAACTTTGAGCAAAAGAAGCTCAGGACAGTGCCCAGACCCTGAGTTCAAAGCCCAGGACTGGCAAAAATAAATAAAACAAAATTGCAGCACTTTTCTCCTGATCTCTTTATCTATTTTTCTTTACAGCACTTACACCTAAATACTACATACATTTTACTTTCTAGAACACACACCAGAAAAGGACAGGCTTTTACTCTGCTTATTCACTGCTATCTCCCTGACACTTCAATCCATGTGTGAATTAACACTTATTATCACTATGAAGGAATAAGAGTCTGACAAATTAATACTTTCATTTCACGCCGTCTGGTTTTCTAGCAAATGATCACAAACCTTCTCTAGAATTTCTTCCAGTTTTTCTGATCCCTAGAAGGATTTTCACTTTGCCTAGAAAGAAAAACTGTGCTTTGTCTTGTCAGCCACAAGGAGGAGTTGAGAAGAGGAGCTCAGCCCAAGAGACCAGTTAAAGCTTTCCCCATGCTTTTCCTATAGTAACCTCAAGGGGGAAGAAAACTGGATTTGGAGCCGACCGTAATGAATGAATTTTTTTTTCCTCCCTACTCTCAGTTACCTACACACACACACACACACACACACACACACGTTAAACAGCATAATCGTTTCGTGTGCCACAAAGAAGTCACTGAAATCAATCCCCAGGCCACTCCGGATTGGGCGGCGGACGGGGGTAGGGTGTAATCTTCCATGGCACCACCACGAAGTCACCACGGATGGAAGCGGAGTTCTTGTTAGTGTTACGAACTTGCCCGGGGAAGGCCAAGGGGTGTCTCGATCATCCGTGCTCTTTGGCCTAGAGAACTATTAAATCATTTCCGTGTAATATTCACAGCACCTACCACCCCGAAAAACAGCCGAAGCAAGGCGATCTTACGTCTCAAAGCCTCCAACTTCGGCCAATCCCCCACCCCCCTAGAATCCATCCAACACCCGATTCCTGAAGCCAGGGGTCGACCTCTGGCTCCCCACCCCGTCACCCCCACAACCCACCCCACGCGAGCTTTCCACTCACCGCCACCTGTTGATGCCCACGTTGGAGGATCCGGCGAACCAGGGATCGAGGATGTAGACGCAGCGGATGGTGTCGGCGCCCTGGATGCACTCCTTCAGGGCGGGGTTGTCGTGGAGCCGGAGCCCCTTTCGGAACCAGTGCACCGCGTTCACCCCCATGCCCGGGGCGCGGCGGCTCACCGCCGACTTCCTTCCCCGGAGAGACTCAAGCCAGGAGGGTCGGGCTCATAACAAACGGCCGCGCTTCCAGGAGAACCGCCCGCACGCCGGGAGCCAGGAAGGGGCGGCCGCGGGCGTGGGGGTCTCGGGGCCCGGTGGTCCTCAGGAGGGGACCGCCCCCGGCGAGGGCGCCCCGGGCGCGATGAATGGAGGGCTCCCAGTCCGCGGGTGACGCCCTTTAGGACCCGGCGCCCGCGGCCCGCGCCCGCACCGGAGGCATAACTTGCGAGGCCCGGGACCCCCGAAGCGCCGGCGAGTCCCAGCAGCCGGAGCCGCCACGACGGAGGTTCGTCACGGTAACCTCGCCCCGCCGAAGCGGCCCGCGACGACAGAACGGCCCTCCCGCGGTGAGTCACCCCGAGCACCCGCGGAGGACTCTGCCGCCGTTAGGCCACGCTGCCTCTCGGCTCGGGACCCGGAGCCCAAGGACGGAGGGGCAGAGACGGTGGTCGATGCGGCTGGACGGCTGCCGGCCGGTGACCGCTCCCGAGGCTGTCCGGGTGACTCCGCCACCGCCGCCGCCGCCGCCGCCACCGCCGCCGCCGCCGCCGCGTCAGCGATCTCGGCCCCGCCCCCGGCTCCTCATTGGACCACGCGCCGCCCACGTGACCCCCGGCACCTCACGTTTCTGAAGTGTGTTTACTACACGGACTCTGCCGGGGCGATCGGCTCGCGCTTAGGGCTCTTTCACTAAGGCAGCAGCCGCTGAGGCTCACACCGTGTCAATCCTTGCCCAGGCGCTGGGGTTCCCTGCCTCAGCTCCTTCCCTCGAGTCACCTGTCGCAGTCTCCTAGAAGCACTCGCGGTCCTCGCAGGCCCCGAGCCCAGAACGGAGAGGCGGGGGAGGGAGCCCCGCCCCTGGGGGCTGTGAGCGGCCGCCATTGGTGGGAGCTCGCTGAGACCCGGATGAGCACGGGGATGTGGGGAGCTCGCGGGCGCGCGCTCCGCTTGGGAAGGCGCGCGTGCGCTCTGGCGGCGTTCCAGCGGGACTGAGGGGACGTGCGGGCGCGCGTGCGTGAGCTCTGGGGCGCTGGGGATTCCTCCACGGGGAGTTAGGAGGGGCCCTGGAAAGCGTGTGGGTGTCCTTCAGAGTTATCGGTGGCGGGTAAGGAAGGCCCATCAAGTACTTCCATGCAGGAGTCGTGCTACGGAGTGTCAGAGTCTTCCCTCCAACGTGACCTTTATTCGGACGCCTGTGGAGAATTGGGGTGCCTGGCGAGATGGGTGCCAGGTATTATGGAACGCCCCGCAGCTTGTGCGTGCGTGCGTGTGTGCGTGTGTGTGTGTGTATGTGTGTGTGTGTGTGCGCGCGCGCGCCCCAGACCCAGGGCTTGAACTCGGGGCCTGAACACTGTCTCCAACCGTTTATTGTTTATTGCCAGTTGAGCCACACCTCCACCTCTGGCATATTGCTGGTTAAATTGGCCTTGAGAGTCTTCAGGGACTTCCCTCCCCGGGCTGGCTTTGAGCCGTGATCCTCAGATCTCAGCCTCATAGAGTAATCAGGATGACAGGGGTGACCCTTCCATGCCTGGCTCCGAAGTCTCTTATAGTTTATTATTATTATTAATAGTATCAAGGTGATGTACAGAGAGGTCACAGTTACATGCGCCAGGTAAAGAGTACCTTTCTTTTTGGACGTCACCCCAGAAATTCCTCAATATACCAAGATGTCCCCCAATCTCTTTTTTGTGTGCCCCGATCTTTTTTAACACCCGGTGCAATTTGCAAGGCCGGGTGTGATCGCATCTTAGGCTGCCTTTCCAACAACAGTAAGCTGCATACCATACCTGCCACATTTGCCGTGCCTTACATATAAAATACATTCCTTCATCCATCATTTACTCAAGCAGGCAATGCTCACTGCATTGGAGATGGAGATAATAAAGTAGGCTCCCCCCCCAAAAAAAAAAGTCCTCATAAATTTTACAATTTCTCTCAATATTTACCGAGTTATTTATTTCTGGTGGTACTGGGGTTTGAACTCAAGGCTGAGTTGCTTGAGCCACACCTTCGCTTGTTTCTATGTGTTGGACTTTCCTCTATAAAATGCTCTTCTTTGGAATTCCCTCCTCACTAAAACCACCATGAGCTTCCTGGTATATTTGCACATACTCATTTGGACTCAAAATGTTACATAATATGTGAACAGATTTTGAACCTCCAATCTGAGCTATCAAAGCATCACTTGTCACACTATTAGAAGACTGCCTAATGAAAAAGATCTTTTTTTTTTTTTTTTGGTTGGTGGTGGGGCCTGAACTCTGTACCTGGGCACTGTCCCTCAGCTCTTCAGCTCAAGGCTAGCACTCTAACACACTGGAGCCATAGCACCACTTCCAGCTTTTTCTGCTTATGTGGTGCTGAGGAATCAAACCCAGGGCCTCATGCGTGCAAGGCAAGCACTCTACCAGTGAGTCACATTCTCAACACTAAATAAAAATCAATCAATTAATTAACTAATTTTAAAAGATCTTTTTTTATACCTAGCAATACCTGCTCAATAATAAATGCTGTGGATTGTCATAGCATTGTAAAGTGTCTCTAGTTCTCTCCAAAGTGTGACCTCTTAAGGACAGCATTTCATCCAATTTGTTTATTTTTGTATTATCAACGCCCTATACAGAGCCTGACATGTGAGCTCAAATGTTAATTGCTTGAAAGGAGTGTATCTGGCAGAGTTAAAAGGAGGAAAGAAATGGCAGTGATGACAGGCCTGAATTCTGACTCCTTCAAATTACTGTTGTTGTTAGCTGGTCCTGGGGCTTGAACTCAGGGCCTGGGCACTGTCCCTAAGCTTCTTTTGCTCAAGGCTAGCACTCTACCACTTTAGCCACAGCACCCTCTCTGGCTTTTTCTGTGTATGTGGTGCTGAGGAATAGAACCCAGGGCTTCATGCATGCTAGACAAGAATTATGCCACTAAGCCACATTCACAGCCCATCCTTCAAATTCTTAAACACCTTAAATAAAAGGGAACTTTAGACACTGACACACTCATGCACACACAGACAAGGCCATGTGAAGATTGGGGTTATGATAGACCACAACCCAAAGAACTAATAGAGGTTAGGAGAAGCCTAGACTAGTCCCTTCCTCCTTGCTTATAGAGGGAGCCTGGTCCTGATGACACCCTGATTTCAAACTTCTGGCCTCCAGAACTGTGTGAGGATAAGTTCCTTTTATATTAAGCCACCAAATATGTGGTATCCTATTATAGCAGTGCTAGTAAGCCAATAACAGCAATAAAATAAATCCATTTATCTAAGGAGCCAGTATGACTTAATAGTTGTCCCACTTATCTTACCACCAGACACGTATGTATCTTTGTTTTTTTTTAATTTTCTATAAAACACTCAAAACTATGTATAAGAAAACCCTTTGCTCACCAGAAAGTGAGCCAATACTGTTTTTTTCTGTTTTTTTTTTTGTTTGTTTGTTTGTTTGTTTTGGGGGGGGGTCCAGTCGTGGGGCCTGAACTCTAGGTCTGGGCACTGTCCCTCAGCTCTTCAGCTCAAGGCTAGCGCTCTACCACTTGAGCCACAGCGCCACTTCCGGCTTTTTTCTTTTTGTTTATTTGGTGCTGAGGAATCGAACCAAGGGCCTCATGCATGCATGGCAAGGGCTCTACCACTGAGCCACCTTCCCAACCCCCAATACTGTTTATTTTTAAGCCTGGAATGAGCTTTGGGTAATTATCTATCTGAACCTCTTGTCACTTATACAAAAGATGTAGCACACAGCCACTCTGCCCTTACGTGGATTGCCTCAAAATCTAGGGCCTATTGTACTTTTAAAATATACTGTTCTTTTAATGAATTAGAAAATAAGGAGATTGTGTCCATATAAGGCTTGTTTTCAAGCATTCCCCATGAGTGTGGGAGGCAAAAAGAATATTGATCAGTGTAGAGCTGACTTAAGTTTATGGATTGTTCATTCAAAAAAGATGATTTTTTTTTTTAGCAGACAGTTTTGTGGGGGTGTATGTGTAACTTCCGTGGAAATATAAGAGCACTAATAATTAGGGGCTGGGAAGGTGGCTCAGTGGTAGAGTGCTTGCCTCACATTCATGAGGCCCTGGGTTTGATTTCTCAGCATTACATTAGCAGAAAAAACTGGAAGTGTTGCTATGGCTCAAGTGGTAGAGTGTTAGCCTTGAGCTGAAGAGCTGAGGGACAGTGCCCAGGCCCAGAGTTCAGGCCCCATGACCACCACCACCAACAACAACAACAATAACAACAACAAACAAAACACTAGTTAATGAAAAGTGTCAGTACTATCAATTGTACATTCCCCAAATACTGAATGATTTTATGGTATATAGGTGGTTGTGATTGTTACTTTAATCTGGGATTTTTTTTGGTGGTGTGTTTGCCATTTAAATATGGCTATCTCTCATTGAGCACTTACTTAATGTCATGGTCTTTATAGAAAGTAGTACCATCTTTGTGACTTTTTTTTCTAGTACTAGAGCTTGAATTTAGGGCCAGGGTACTGTCTCTTAGATTTGTTTAGTTTTTTGGGGGAATGTGGCTTAGTGGTAGAGTGTTTGCCTAGCAAGCATGAAACCTGGGTTCAATTCTTCATTACTACCTAAACAGAAAGGGCCAGAAGTGGTGCTGTGGCTCTAGTGGTACAGTGTTAACCTTCCTTGAGCAAAAGAAGCTAAGGACAGTGCCCAGGCCTGAGTTCAAGCCCTAGGACTGGCAAAAAAAAAAGTTATTGCCTCTATTTCCAAATTCACCTTTCATTGCCTCTTCCTCCTTCATGGAAGTATACCATATGAGGATTTCTCCTTTGTCACTGACACTTTGGAAGTATACCATATGAGGATTTCTCCTTTGTCACTGACACTTTGGAAGTATACCATATGAGGATTTCTCCTTTGTCACTGACACTTTGGAAGTATACCATATGAGGATTTCTCCTTTGTCACTGACACATTAGAAGATGTTGAAAGGGACCTGGATTTGAAAGGAACTCTCTCCAAGTCCTGGTGTCCTTCCCCATCCCCCACATTTTTCCTTTTCTGACCTCCATGTTTGACAAATATTCTTGGGGAAAAGACATATAGAGAACTCACTTCTTTCAAGTTTCAGTGGCATCCTTGCTGGTGGGTTTTCTGAGTTCTCAGTGAGTCTCACAGACATCCAGAAGTAAGTTATCCAGCTTCTGTCCACCTGCATCCTGGGAAAGCATTTCTGGTGGTTTTCTCCCCACCAACCTCAGTTTGGTGATTAAAAGATTAGTCCTGGCCCAGGGCAAATCTAGTCATGTTGTTCCTTATCCTAAGCCTACAACCGCACCTCAGGTGAAGGCTGAATCCCACCTTGGAGTGGATTCCTAGCACCCCTTCTTCCAAGTACTATTTCTTAGGTACTCTTCTTCAGCCTTGGTGTATTCCTTTTTTTTTTTTTTTGTCAGTTGTGGGCACTGTCCCTCAGCTCTTTAGCTCACGGCAAGTGCTCTACCACTTGAGCCATAGCATCACTTCTGGTTTTCTGAGTGGTTAATTGGCAATAACAGTCTCATGGACTTTCCCACCCAGGCTGTCTTTGAACCTCCATCCTCAGATCTCAGCCTCCTGAGTAGCTAGGAATACAGGTGTGAGCCACCGGCACCTGGCCTTGGGATATTCTTCATAGAAGTGCCATTTATCTCTCCTTAGTTAATGACCTGATGTAATTCACAATATTTTATTAAATATTCCCCATTTGAATTTGTGTGTGTGTGTGTGTGTGTGTGTGTGT